AAAGCCCACATGGAAGAGGCACATCAGCCTGTTTGATCATGAGGTGTCGATGGGATCAAGTATCAGGCAACAAAGACCCAGAACAAAAAATCATATCGATGTGAATGAGGGTGAGGGCAGAGTGGAGACCCAAAGCCCATCTGTAGACAATTGGACATCCCCTCACAGAAGGGTCACAAGGAAGAGATGAGCCAGTCAGAGTGTAGTATAGCACAGACAAAACATACAATTTTCCTCTAGTTCTTTAACGCTCCCCCCGCTCACTATGCTGACCCCAATTCTACCTTACAAATCCTGCTAGACCAGAGCATGTACACTGGTACAGATCAAAGCTGGAAACACAGGGAATCCAGGTCAGAGAAACCCCACAGGACCAACAATGTGAATAGAGATACCAGGAGGGGAATGGGAAGGTGGGGGGAGAAAAGGGGAACCGATCACAATGATCTCATATAACTCCCTCCCAGGGGGATGGACAACAGAAAAGTGGGCGAAGAGAGACAGCGGTCGGTGTAAAGCATGAAAAATGATAAATTATCAAGAATTCATGAGGAAGGGAGGGTTTGGGTAGAGGAAGAAATGAGCTGAAACCAAGGGCTAAGTAGAAAGCACATGTTTTGAAAATGGTGATGGCAACATATGTACAAATGTGCTTGACACGATGGATGTCTGTATAGATTGAGAGAAGAGCTGAAGAGCCCTCAATAAAACGACTTTAAAAAAAGAATACAACGTTGGGGGCGGTGGGGCGCGTAAAACCAAGACCATCAGGCTGGCCGTTTCACAGGTGGCCAGGCGAGAGCATGGGTACTCACCAAGAAGCCGCCTTCGTATCTGCTGAGGGCGAGGCAGCCATTACTGTCCGGCTGCCCTCATCCTCTTCCTCCTGCCTTTCTTCTTCCGGTGTCACCTCTTTCTCTCCGTGAGCTCCTGCCCCGGGATGGGATGAGGCAAGTGCTTCCAGTCACAGCCGCCTCCTCTCAGTTTTCACTCAGCATGAAAGTGCCACTTCCCTTCCCAGGAGACGCCTGAGCCCAGGCCCCCAGGCCTATGGCTCTTTCCACCTCTTTGAAGTTAGGGAGGGAAGAGAATCGGGCCAGGGCAGTCCTCAGCAGAGCTGAAGCCCCTCACCTGGCCCCAGCTCAGAGAAAGGGGCTGTGGACGCCGTTTAGAAGGGCTCTCTCATGTAGCCTGTCCCGCAGAGTCTTCAGAAGTTTCTTGGACATGTCTCAGGCTGCCAGTTCAAACATCGGTGCCTGGGCCCAAGAAAAAAACACAAGGAATCGATTATTTCACGAACCCATGAGAAAGCATGTGACCCAGCAGCAGGAAGCCAATGGCAGGCTTCAAAAGGGCTACAAAGTTGTGGGCTGCTGTTTCAAAATGGAAAAAGCAAAAACACAACAGGGGAGCAGGAGACTTTGGCATTAAGTGCCTCCGTGTGGAGCATTACAGTGAGTTCAACACACTCCTGCCTCGTAGGTGGTAAACTGAATGCTGCTGACAAGCCCAGGGTGGGAAGGGCGACAACTTGCATTCCACTAACAACCTAAAGGTGGTGATGGTAGCCTGCCTGCCAGAGGCCCCTCAGAGGAAAAGACTAGACACTTGCTTCTGTTCAGATGACAGCTAAGCCAACCCTACCAAGCGGTTCTACCTTGTCGTGTGCAGA